GGGTTTGAGTAAACTCCGGGAGCTGGTGATGGACAGGGAGGCCTGGTGTGCTGTGATTCATGGGGTTGCAAAGAGTTGGACATGACTGAGCGACTGAACTGAACTGAACTGAACTGATCCAGGCAGACTAAATGTAATTAAAAGCATCCTTACAAGATACAGTCAGGAGGGTTGGAATTTGAAGTGATGTAACAATGGAAGCAGTGGGAAAGAAGATATAATGATAGAAACAGAAGTCAAAGTGATGTAGAGCTCTGGGCCAAGAACTGTAGGCCACCTCTAAAAGCTGGAAAAGGCAAGGAAATAGGTTGGATTCTCTATTAGAGCCTCATGAAGGAAGGATGCCTTGCTGACCCAGTTTAGACTCCTAACTTGCTAAACCACATGATAATACAATTTCATTTATTTAATTCAAAATGTGTGGTTATCTGTTACAGAACCAATAGATAACTAACACAAAAACATATGTAGATATTTATATACAATTATAAACACAAACACACAGAAAGTAAGTTTAACACACACATACCCTCATACACACCCACAAACAATAACTAGCTGATGTTTTTGAGTGTGTGTGCATGTGTGTGTGTGTCTGTGTGTGTGTACTTTAAGAAGACTGACTACAAGTTCAAGGTTTCTATCTCCCACCCTAATATCTCATCTCCTAATATTATTATGCTTTCAAGAAGGACAGGGATAAAGAGAAGGAGAAAGTGAGAACATGAGGAGGATGACAGGGAAGGGAAGAGGAAATGGGAGAGAAAGAGAAAGAAACAAAGCAAAATCCTTCAATCCATTGTTTAATATTTAAAAGTCTGTTTAATTGAAAATGTTTAAATGATGGTATATCAATCATAATCTATAAATAACTGCTTACCAGTATCTTCCCCAATTTCAAAGATAAGAAGTATAAAATAAGCAAAGCATAGGGCATTCTAATTGAAATTGACATTAGCAATCTTATAGCAGAAAACAGAGAAGAGACTGTACATGGACAATAAACTTGACAGACTTTATAAATTTCCCTTGGGTTGACTATTGCTTCAATTGGCCCAAACAAATAGATGCTCCTGATTAAAAATCTTTTTTCATGCAGCTGCACAGCAGTCTGCTTCATCAGAATTACAAAGTTTTTTTTTTTTTAATTCAGCTCACTTACTGTGAAAGGATATTTTCTACAGAGAACACACTAATTGAAGCATTACTACACAGTTCCTATTTAAAATCTTTCTGTCTCACAATATTGTAGACATCCATATATATTTGGCAGTTTCTCAATAAGTCCCTTTTAATGTTTAAGCAAAAAATGACCCACTAATTAACATTAAAAATGTTTGAGGGATTTACTTTTATTATTTTCCCTTAATTTGTGTATTTGTTTTATTCACCACTGCCTTCAATAGCTCATCAAAACATAATAGTTGTTTCCCTTGACTTTGATTGAAACACTTCATAAAAACACTAAGGTAAATGTTTTTTTGAATTAGGGAATGAATAATCATGAAGGTTTTATTTTATAAAGAAATAATTAAGCCCATGAAATATCACACGATCAAGGGAGATTTCTGGGATTTCAACAATTGATATAAGTTTGGATAAATTTAGAGAAACAAACAGGGTACTTAAGAAACTTGGAAACAGATCATCTACAGAACATAAGAAACTCCTTATTCATCACGAGAGAAAATTCTGAAATAAGAAACAGAATAGTCAAAAACATATATTTAAGGATGGAAGAAAATTAAGTCTTGATAGCCACGATTAACAGAAAATATGAATCAGCTGGAGGTAGTTTCAAAGAGCTGGACTACTCAAAGAGCATACATATAACTTGAGGATAATGTGCTGCAGAGATATGAAATAATTTAATTACATATAATGGATGTCTCTTCCCAGAAATGTAATGGACTGGACTAGATAAATCTGTAACATTGTGTCCACTATTAACTGCATGAACAAATCAGAATTAAAAGTAGCAGGCTTAATTATCTTTAAGGAAATTTATTTAAGGAAATATTCCCTTTCCCTACTTTTCCTTAGAGAATTTACGTAAGACTTAAAATTATAAATAATTCCTCTTTTCTTTGAGATGTTTATCCAGAACAGAAATGTTTATCCAAGCTGCAAAATTACCTCTTATCATAAAGATATGAGATGTCCATTTCTCATCTGGATAGAGTCAACAAGCTAACTTTGATGGTTACTCACAATTACTAAGTTTGTAGGAACTAAGTGTGACAGAGAGTGCCTTGAGGTCCTCTGAGGAACTAGCTATTGTTTACCATGAAAACGGGTATGTAATGGCTTATATAAAGCTTGGCTATATACAAGGGAGTGAAATTCCTGTCTACAGTCTGAGTGGATTGCCAGTGATATGCGTCACATTCTGGTTCAATCTTAATAATAATCGTGTTTTCTTTCTCTCCTACCATTGTTAAGTATTGATAGTTGGGAAAAGATTTTGTTTTTAAATTCCCCAACATAATCAAATGAAAAGCTTCAACCTCACCTTTTGTCTACCCTCTTCACAGCTTAAGGTCAGCATATCAAAGAAACCTTGAATCTGAGCTGAGATTACTAACTTACCTGGACCAATAAACTGGAACAGGAGTGACATCTGGGACTTAAGTCTAGAAATACTTAACAATAAACACTTATAAGAAACACTATTCTAGGAACTCTGGCATCATTTAAGAAAATATCACGGACAGCTGCACTAGCTGAGCATCTGACTGACATCCAATATCAACTGCCAACCATGTGATGATTACCTCATGCTTCTAACTCAGACACCGTGGCCTTTGCTTCTCTCTGAAATTACATGTGAATCCTCCTTTGGAGTCCACTCAACAATAGAATTGTGAGGAATGTCTTTAAATGCTTTGTTTTGTGTTTGTTTTAGTGTCTAAAATATGGGATGGTCTATTTCAGGTCAATAGATAGCCAGAATACTGCCAAAATTACAATATAACTTTCTTTCACCAAATGTTTAAGGAATATATTATACCAATTCTTTGTAAACGCTTTCAGAAGACACAGCAGAGGAAATACTTCCTAACTCATTCTATGAGATCAGTATTGTCCTAACCTGAAAAAGAAAAACATTACAAGAAAATAAAACTAGAGACCAATATCTTTGATGAACACAGATGCAAAAATATATCTTCAGCAAAACACTAGCAAATCAAACCCAAGAATGTATTAAAAAAATTATATACCACAACCAAGTGGAACTTATCCCGAATATGCAATGATGGTTCAGCATTACAATACTGATTAATATAATTTATTACAACAACATTCTAAAAAATAAAAATCACATTTATGTATAAATCACATTTATGTGATTATGTAAAAATCACATTTATAGTATACCAACATGTAGATGTAGAACAACTATTTGACAAAATCCAATACCCATTTGTAACAAAAATTCTTAGTAAGCTAGGAAAGTAGGGGAACTTTCTCAACTTGAAAAAGAACATGTGGGAAAAAAAAAAAAAACTATAGTTAATATCATACTTAAAGGTCAGTTAACAAATCTTTATCAGTAAGAAAATGCAATAAGACAAGAAAAGAAATATACACCATATACATTGGTACCCTCAAAAATTAAGTGGTTAGGTGTAAAGCTAAGAAATGAGGAAAACTATAAAACTAATGAAGGAAATCAAAGAAGAACTAAATAAAGAGAGATATTCCATGTTCATGGACAGGAAGGCTCAATATTGTCAAGATCTCAAAACTTTCCAACTTGGTCTACAGATTCAATGCAATTCCAATCGAAGTCCTAGAAAGCTATTTTATTAATTTTGACAAACTGGTTCTAAAGTTTATATGGAAAGGGAAAGGACCCAGAATAGTCAACACAAACCCTGAAGGAGAACAGTTAAGACGACTGACACTGCCCAACTTTAAGACTTAAAGACTAATCATAAAGTTGTATTAATCATGACAGTGTGGTGTTGGAAAATAATAGACAAACAGATCAATAGAATGGAATAAAGCCCAGGCACAGACATGCATTAATACCATCTGCTGATCTATGACAAATGAGCAAAGGCAACACAATGGAGCAAAGACAGTCTCCTCAATAAATGGTGTGAGAAAAACTAAAAAAATAAAAGTAGACAGAGACCTTAGAATATTTGCAAAAATTAACTCAAAATGGACTACAGATCTAAATTCAGCTTGCAAGACAATAAAATAACATAGGCGAAATCTCGATGACCTTGGCTTTGGCAATGACTTTTTAGATAAAACAACAAAGGCTCAACCCATGAAAAGAAGAATTGATAAACTGGACCTAATTGAACTTATTTTTTTTCCTTTCTGTTACAGATACTGTTACAAGAATGAAACAGAGTAACAGACTGGGAGAAAATATTCACAAAAGACACATTCAATGAAGGACTACTACTCAAAATACAGAAAGAATTCTTAAAACTCAATGAGAAAACAAAAAATCTAATTAAAAAAATTAGTCAAAGACCTTAACAGACCCCTCATTCAAGAAAATATACATATGAAACGATGTTCCACATCATTGGTCATCAGTGAAATGCAAAACTAAAATACTGAGGTACCATGACACAGCTATTAGAGTAGCCAACATCAGGAACGCTGACAACACCAAACACTGGCAAGGATGTGGAGAAAACAGGAACACTTATTCATTGCTGATAAGAATGCGACAGTCTGGACAAGGCCTACTGGGCCCTGAAGGAGGCGCTCTCGGAGGAAATAAAGAAGGCACAAGCAACTGGTCAGTCCTGATGCCAGCTGTGTCCTCTCAGGTGGGGCCCAGGGCCGGGCGCCCATGTCAGTGGGCCAGAGTCTCCTGGCAGTGGCTCTGCTCACCTCAGCTAGCACCCAGAGATTGAGGTGCTGCCCATCTTCCCTCACCCCCCACCATGGTTGGAGGACCTTGTCTCTTACCCCTATTCCCCATATCCATTTCTAGGCTTCCTCCCCACCATGCCCTGTCAACCCCTTACCCGTGGAAGCCAGGCCAACATCCAAATAAAGAACTGCTGGGTTGTGTCCTTGAAAAAAAAAAAAAAAAGGATTCACAATAGTAAGCCACTGTGGAAGACAGTTTGGCAGTATCTTACAAAACTAAACATACTCTTACCATTTAATCCATCAATCACACTCAACCAAAAGGAGTTGATGACATGGGTCCACACAAAAATCTTCACACTTATAACAGTTTTATTTTCAATCGCCAATGTTTGGAACCAAACAAGATGTTCTTCAGTAGAAAAATAAACTGTAGTATAAAGAGAAATGACATTTTATTCAGTGCTGGAAAGAAATGAATTATCAAGCCATGACAAGACACAGAGGAACTTTAAATACATATTACTGAGTGAAATAAGCCTATCTGAGACAATTACATATTGTATGATTCCAACTGTACGACACTGTGGAAAAGGCAAACCTATAGAGACATAAGATTCATTCATGTTGGGGGAGTTCAGTTCAGTCACTCAGTCATGTCCAACTCTGTGCGACCCCATGGACTACAGCAAACCAGGCTTCCCTGTCCTTCAACATCTCCCAGAGCTTGCTCAAACTCATGTCCAAGGAGTCAGCAATGCCATCCAACCATCTCGTCCTCTGTTGTCCCCTTCTCCTCCTGCCTTCAATCTTTCCCAGCATCAGAGTCTTTTCTGATGAGTCAATTCTTCGCATCAACGTGAACAAAGTATTGGAGCTTCAGCTTCAGCATCAGTCCTTCCAATGAAGATTCAGGACTGATCTCCTTTAAAATTCACTGGTTTGATCTCCTTGCAGTACGAGGGAGTGTATACATAACAGTATTTTTAGGGTAGTAAAAATACAATGTATTATACTGTAATCACAGAATGTACAACAGCAAGAGTGAACTATATTGTAAACTATGAACTTTGTTGATGATGGTGTTTCAATGTAGATTCATCTACTGTAACAAATGTATCACTCTGGTGAAGACTGTTATTAATTGGGGAGATTTTTCATGTGTGGGACAAGGGGAAATATGAAATATCTCTGTACTTTTCTCTCAATTTTGTTGTGAACCTAAAATTTCTCTAAAAAAGAGCCATAATATATATGTAATGTAACCATAAAAATCAGGAAATAATATTGATAATCATCCTACAAATCATCCTACAATGATAATCATCCACCTGTAACACTGGAAACCTGGGTTTGAGCCCTGGGTTGGGAAGATCCCCTGGAGGAGAGCATGGCAACCCACTCCAATGTGCTTGCCTGGAGAATCCTCATGGACAGAGGTACCTGGAGGGCTACTGTCCATGGGGTCACAAAGAGCCAGACAAGACTGAGTGACTAAACACAGCATCATCTAATCTATAAGCTTCATTCAAATTTTAACTCCAATCTGGTAAAGAACTTTAGAGCAAAATGATCTCTCCAGGATCATACCTAATATTTATTTGTTGTGTGTTTTTAAGTCACCTTTGTGCATGTGATCTCAGTCACTCAGTTGTGTCTGATTCTTTGTGAACCCATGGACTGTAGCCTGCCAGGCTCCTCAGTCTATGGAATTATCCCAGCAAGAATACTGGAGTAGGTTGCCATTTCCTCCTCCAGGGAATCTTCCTGAACCAAGGATCCAACCTGCATCTCCTACAGCCCCTGCGTTGGCAGGTGGATTCTTTATCACTGAGCCACCTGGGAAGCCCTTGAAAGAAGTGTGAAAATGAAGTCACTCATTCATGTTCTACTCTTTGTGACCCCATGGACTGTAGCCTGCCAGGCTCCTTTGCCCATGGGATTCTCCAGGCAAGAATACTGGAGCCATTTCCTTCTCCAGGGGATCTTCCTGACTGAGGGATCAAACCAAGGTCTGCAGGCAGACTCTTTACCATCTGAGTCACCAGGTAAGTCATTAGTCACCTTTAATCTTTGACAACTCTTCAGTCTCTTCATCTTTTATAATTTTAACATATTTTGAAGACATAAGCATGCCATTTTGTAGAGTATGTTAGTTTAGGTTTTCCTGATGTCTTCTTCTCCCTCTCCCTCTGCTTAGATTCTAGTTACGAATTTTCAGTTGAAGTATCACAGAGTATTTTGTATTTATTATATCTTACCAGAACTTTTTTTTTCATTATATTTTATCAGGTGAAGCAAGATTTTGATATTTTCCATTACTGGTGATGCTCATTTTGGTCACATGGTTAAGGTGATACCTGTCAGGTTTTCCCAGAGTAAGTTATTTATTTAAAGTCTAAAATTATAGTGTTGTGAGGCAATGCTTTGAAACTAAAGTCTTATTTCCTATTATGCTTTTATTCAACAATTTTAGAAGCCATTGATGATTTTTCTCTTGTCAAGTTTAACTATCTTGGTTACCAAATGGTAATTCTTTAATTCCACCAATCTCTAAACATCTCATTCATTCATTCAGTAGAGTACAGACTCATGAATTTTACTTTCTTGAGTAGATTATAATCTCTCACTGTTATTACATATGCTGATACTCAAATTGTCCTATACTTAGCAACTACATATCATGCAAGCTTTCTTATATAGCATTTTAATATCTATACCACTCCTCAAGCACTTTTTCTGGACACACATACACACATATATCCACATATCTGCCTATTTATATTTTAACTCTTGTTAAAATTTTTACAGCCAAAATATAAGTTATTCAAAGCCAAAAATGTTTTTAATACATTTTTGTTTAGCCCAGGTAAGTTCACATAGTGGTTTGCCTGCTTTGGCACTTAAACATGATAGCTGATTTACTGGCTTTACTTTATTGAAGTGTCTTTCCTGAAGTAGAGGGGAACAAAGCTCTAGCTTTACATTCAGCCTATTTTTGGCCTCACTTCTGATGCTGAATCCCACCACCACTAGTGCAGAGAAGCTGCGGAACAGGGAAAGATGTAGGTGATTGGTTTAAAAATATGTAATACTATTCACCTGTTTTCTTTTTTCTTTCCTTCTTTTTTTGATTCTTAAGGTGTTCATAATTTATTGAAACTAAACAAGTAAGTTTAATTAAAATTACTTTACTGTAAATCTATTATAATACAAACTAATTAAAAAATAAAATTACCTTTATTCTTTCCTATATCTAGGATTACTAAGATAAAACTTTTTATTTTTAAGTAGATATTACATTCACGGGTGATAAAATCCTGGATCCTCAGTTAGGCACATAAAGTACAAACCCTGATAAACACTTAATATTATCAAGATTGTGTGGTTTCAGCTTGGTTTGCAGGCCAGCATCCTGATACCTCTTCCTGTCTGCTTGGGTGTGGGCCCTGGGATACTGCTGGTATATACTCATTAGAGGCAGCCTGCTCTCATGCAGAGCATATAGTCATATCCTGTTTTGTTTTATTTTTTATCCCTAGACTGAGAGCTATTTATACTTTGATCATTCGTTTCTGCTGTTTTAACTGGTGCAATTTGTTTTATTTTCTACCCTGAGGGCTAAAAATACACTCCTCTTCAAAATAATCAAGTCCACATTAGCACTCTGTGGCATCATGAAGACAGACCTCCTGCAGCATTTTGGTGGCCATGTTTTTGTAGACGATGATCATGTAGGACTCCAAGATTCTGACCAGAGCAGATACCATCATTTCCTGCTTGTTTACTATTAAGTCCTGTGTTCTGGGTACACTCTGATGAATGTCATATGTACCAAGTCAATCTCTTTCATTAGGGAACTCACCAGTTCATTGTGTGGAAGAACAGGAGTGGTGCTAATCTTCTAGGGAGAGATTTCTGGAAGAGATGACATTTAAGCTGAGTCTCATCTAAAATGAGTGGGTGCTTGCCACATGCATATGTTGGTGTCAAAAAGGACAGCCAGCTTGGGCAGAAGGGGCCGGGCATTTCAGACTTGAAGGATAATCAGAGGGCAAGATGTGCTAGAAACAGCAGCATCAGGATACAATCAGGAGAAAGAAGAAATGCTTTGATCGTAATATTCTGATGTTAAAATTTTATTTGAATGTGATCCTTTGGAATACATTGGTGGTTTTCAAAATTAGGGTCTCAGACAGTCTACCATGACACAGAAAAATAATGACAGTGTAATAGGTTTTATATAAATTTGGTTAAATACTTAACTATTGAGAAGAGATGGTTCTGTTTTGTGTTCACTGATCTTTTAGAAAATTATTCTTAGAGTGTGGGGTTTTGTTTATTTTGAAAGGTTGGCAGCCCTATGTGAGATATGCAGATAGAAGATGGGAAGCCATGGAAGGATAGTAAGCTGAAGTGATGCATTATTTGAACTCTAAATTTTCAACCTATTCTTCTTCCCTATTGTGCTTATTACCAATTGTTTTGTCAGTCCCACAGACATCTAAACATCAGTAAATTTTAAGTTTATAATGGTCTCCCTTCCATTCCATACTGCCTTGAATATGTTCACATAGCCAGAGGTAGAGGTCTCAACTCATCCTCAACTCCAGCACCCTGATTTGTACACGGACAGTTTGCCTAGTTCCAGGTTAGCCTTGTTTCTCCCTCATCTTTGCCGTCATCCCCAGCAGTTCCTGCCAGGCCCCTCTGAGGCTTCACGTCTTTCTCCCTCTGCTGGGATGTCTTCCCATCTTATCCTACTGAACACATCCTTCCAAGATTTCCTTTGTATTCACCTTGCTTCTGAGCATTCCTGGAGTCACTGGGGTAGAGTACCTCTTCTTTCTCCACACTGTTTTATGCTCTGTGCATACGTCTATTAAAATGTGAGTCACAAGGGAAAGGACCATCACTGTTTTACTCAAGATTCTAGTACTAAAATCATGTCTGTCCTACAGTGGGTACTCAGTAAATAAGCTTCTTCTCTCACCAATGCTTTATTTACTTCCAAAATATTTTTACTTGGAAACAAACGCTTTATTTACTTTCAAAATATACAGCATTTCATTTATACGTGGAATCTAAAAAAATACAATAATTGACAAATATAATAAAACAGGAACAAGCTCACAGATACAGAAAACAAATTAGCAGTTAACAGTGGGCAAGTGATGATAGGAGGGGCAAAATAATCCAAGAGGACTAAGAAACATAAACTATTAGGTATAAAAAAAATAAGATACAAGGATAGCCCAGGGAATATAGCCAAATGCTTTATAATAACTTTATATAGAGTATAATCATATAAAACAAATCACAGTATACCTGAAACTAATAAAATATCGTAAGTCAATTATACTTCAAAATTCTTTTTTTTTTAATTTTAATAAAAACAGGGACACAAAGGTTACCATAAAAAGCCAATTC